AAAAAAAGAACAATACCGATGACTATTATATTGTAATACTTTGTTCTCTCTCTCCTCCTCTTTCTATTTTTTTGTTTTTCGTTTTTGTTTTTGGATGGTTGGTGATTGGTTTGCTTCTCCTGGTTCCTGTTGATCAGTGGTATTTGGCCAGTTTGTATTTTTCCAGACATCACTCCACGATGTTGTTGAGGTGTTTGATGGGCCAACTCAGCAGTCTCCTCTGTTATCTTCCCTCTCGGGATCCCATTCAGGTATCCTTTACTAGAACTGCCATACATCAGTTATTGGTTAAAGACTGATTTTAATAGTATTGTAGAGAAAGTTTAGATCTGTGTCATCCATGTTAGAAGTAAAGTAAACTGAAAAGAGAAGCACTTTTTATTAAGAATAAAACCACAATTTAACAATAAATCAGAAGGTTGAGAAAAAATATAATCGACTATTTCCTAGGATTTGGAATAAAATAAATATAATATTTAATCGAAATCTGTGGTGTTTCATGTGCTAAAAAGTATTTAAGAATGAGACCTATGTGTTAAAATGTAATTAAAGCCTTCTGGTGAAATGATTGCAATGAAGCTGTACTCAAAGGGAATCTATTGCTAGCAGCAGGATATTTTAAAGTAATTTGATAGAACATAGTTTGACATTTTCAAATGACAGTGTAAAATAATATAATTTGTTAGGAATACTGAATGAAAATTATTTATGATATCTTAGTGTTTGTTTTGTTGAGTAGGAGAATCACTTCCACTGAGTTCAGGTAATCAGATCACAATTCGATTTACATCAGTTGGACCAATAACAGCTAAGGGATTTCACTTTGTCTATCAAGGTAAGTGACACTGTAGTCTAGAAACACACTACGGATTTAAATGTCTAATTTTCCTTCTTTCCCAACATATAGTTTTCAAAACATCTATGTTTTCCTTACAATTCTTCGGTTTCTACATATTCTATTTTCCTTACAGTCTAGCACTCTAAATGAAACATATAAAATTTGTGCTGTGATATATTTAGATAAGGCAAGGCCATTGCTCCATTTGAAAATTATACTTTCTCATTCTCAGTAAAATTGAAACTGTCTTCACAGTTAATGAAGATTTTTGGACATTAGAAGTTAGTTTACATAGCTTTTTTTCTTGCCTTTTGTAGACAAAGTTACACAAAATCATTAAACTAAATCCAGTCATCATTTGAAATACTTTGCTTTAATTATATATGGTCACATAATAGTTATTTTATAAAAAACCTTGAACTGTCTTCTTAATAAATGGATAAATATTTGCAATATGCTATTCTTATTAAACTCTTTTTTTTTCTATTTTTCAGTTGGCTATAGTATTATTCTCTTTTACTTATAATAGTACTTATGCCCTGTAAACCATATGTGGTAATATGAATCTTAAAGGCACTCTAAAAGTTTAATTATATTTACTCAAGTTGAGCAATAGGGATTAGTCCATCAGAATTCATCATGTCATTTTTTGACTGTTGTCAAACTTTTTGATCACATTTGTATGTATTTTAAAAAGAAAAAACATCCTGTTATCATTCTATTTTACAAAATCAAAAAAGGCACAATTGAAGGACATACAAATTCTAAAATAAATTTCAAATATGATTTCTAAAGCACAAAGAATTATTGTTGTTAATCTGTCTGACTTTTAATTTGCTTATGCTATAATTATTGTCATCTTCAGTAATGAAAATATTTTAAAATTAAGTTTGTAAACATGTTTTAAAATAACTAAAATGTGGTTGCTTTTTCAAACTGATATTAATAAGAGCCAATACTGAAAACAACTGTAAAGTTATTCCATGTAGCCTGAAATGGCTTTTATGCTTGGTATCCCAAGTTTAATATATATGTATATATGTATATATATATATATATATATATCCATTTTGAGCCTGTAAATTGAAGCATATAATGAAAATTACTTTGCTTAGCTAATAATTTTGATAAAACAAAATAAAGTAGTAGCATGATTGATATCATTTAAATTATCACAACTAAACCTTTTTTAAATAAAATATGACAACATTCATTTGAAATTTTTTCTGGAATTTAAGACTTTAGAAATGTATAAAAATTAATAAATCAAGTTTCAAAAAATATAAGCCACTTTTGTTGAGCCTGTTTATGTAGTTGCATTTTGAAATAAATGTGAAATTAAAACCAACAATTATTTCTATGCAGCTGTCCCTAGAACAAGTTCTACACAGTGCAGTTCTGTACCTGAACCAAGATTTGGAAGAAGAATTGGCAATGAGTTTGCAGTTGGTTCACTGGTCCTTTTTGAATGTAACCCAGGCTATATTCTTCATGGCTCCAAAGCCATTAGGTGTGATACAGTGCCCAATTCTTTGGCCCAGTGGAATGATTCCTTACCTACCTGTATTGGTGAGTGTTTATATTTATATGCTCTGTGATCGTGAATGATTATGGAAGATTTCCAAGATTATTTTCTAACTTGACAGATAAAATTGCATGCATTTCTTGTGGATGGTATAATGTTTAGAAATATTTATGCAATATGGAATGAGTCATGATTTATTAACATCTGCATTACTTTTGTAAAGTTAATATTTTTGTGGTGATAACACTTTACATCACTTATCAGGATTTAATTATATCCTCATAAGCTATAGTCATCATCAGGTCTTACAATAGACCTCTTACACTTATTCCTATCATATAACAAACTATTGAACTCTTTCACTTTAACTCAATCCCTTGATGTTGGCATCACCTTTCTACCCTCTATTCCTATGGTATTAACTTCCACAGATTCTAATGTGAATGAAGTCATGTCTTTTCTGCCTAGAATTTTTTTTTTAACATTTAGCATTTTCTCCAGGTCGTCTATGCTGTGTTAAACACAGAGTTTCCTTCTAATTATTGCATCTTGTAAATGCAGCACAGATTCTCCCTCTGTTCAACAATTTGTGGAAAGTTAAGGTTGATTCTAATTCTTGGCTCTTGCAAATAATGATGCGATGTTATCAGTGTGAAACTGGAATCATATTCGAGTTTCCATAAGGCTCAACTAATTTATATTGTCACCTCTTTTCTCCACATCTTTCACATGTAGTATCTTTAGAATTTTTGACAATAGTCTTTCTAGTGTGAAAGATGATTTCTTACTGTTTTGACTTGATGTTTCTTTAGCAATTATAACACTGAGGATTTTTCATATATCTGTTAGCCATTTCAGTTCTTGTTTACAAAAGTGCTAACTTCAATTTAGAGCCCATATTTAATGAGATTATTGAATTCTTTCAGAATATCAACTTCTATGTATAGTTTTCAAACATTTCTTCTCCATTATAGACAATATATATATGATAATTTTTGTTGAAAAACTTTGTAGTTTTTTAAATATTTTATCTTTTTTTATGTGTATGAGTATATTGCCTGCATGTGTGTAAGTGCACCCGTGTCTCGCAATGCCCATGGAGTCAAAATAAAGTGTTAGAATCTCCTGGAACTGACTTACAGATGATCATTAGCCACCATTTAGGTTCTGGGAATCTGTAAGAGCAGTGGTGCTCTTAACCACTGAGCCATCTCTCTGGTACCCAAAACCTATATAGTTTGACATGATCACATCTATGCTGGCTTTTAATTCTTGTACTTTAGGAGTCTTATCATAAACATCATTGCCTTTTCCAAGACCCTTAAATATTTTTTCTTCTTTTCTTCTAGAAATTTCAGTACTTGTGTGTGTGTGTGTGTGTGTGTGTGTGTGTGTGTGTGTGTTTTGTTTTACTCAGCAATGTTCTGAATTTTTGTTGTAAAGATTTTTTAGTACCTTGGAAAAATTTATCCTTAGGCATATTTTTGTAGTGTTCCTGCAGAACGTTATTTTCTTGATTACAGTTGGTTATCAATTCATTGTTTGTTAGTGAATTCTAAAAATCTTTGCATGTTGATTATGTATATTTCTAAATTCATTTATTAGATCTAGCAGAATTTTGGTAGAGTCTCTGTATACATAAGGCCATGTTATCTTCAGTGACAATAAGATTATCTCTTTCCCAATTTCAATGCTTTGATCATTTTTTCTCTTGTCTGATTGTTCCAGTAATTACTTCCAGTAGACAAAAGAATAAAAGTGGCAAAAGTTGTCATGTTCATCTTTTTCCAGACTCTACAAAGTATTTATATTTCCTCTGTTCAGTATGATGTTGGTTATTAACATAACAAATGAATTTTATATTAAGATATAATCCTTTCATACCTAATGTGCTCCATGTTTTCATTAAGAAAATTGTTGAAATTTCTCAATGGCCTTTTCTGTATATATTGAAATAATCATCTAGGCATTGTTCTTTTTTCCCTTATTGTGGTGTATCACATTTATGACTACAAATATTGAACCATCCTTGGAACCTGAGAAGAATCCCATTCAACTGTGGTGAATAATCTTCCCAATGTGCTGTTAGATGAAGTTTTGTTTAGGAATTAGGAACTATATTTATAACTGTAGCAAATATCTACTGCAAAGGGTTTTTTAAAGTACTTTTAAATAACTCTCTGAATGGTCTAAGAGTTGTCCAGTCTCTAAGTATTTAAGACTTCAAGAGGCCTATAGAAAAGTTACTTTTGCAATTTGTCCATGAATTAGCCTAGTTATTAACTGTACTCACCATGGTGACAGATCATTGGCATTTACTATTCTAATACAACTATATTTTGTATCTTTTAACAATTTTCTTTATAATAGGCATTACTAAAATATACTCATTAGAAGTACTGTGAAATTTCTTTTCATTACTTAATTCATGCAAATATAAATAATTCTAGAAGAATGCATTTTCTCATTGTTTGAAAGGTCATAAAAATTAAAGTAATTTTTATTTTCATTAAAATACAATGCTTTTATTCTTTGTGACCTTGAAAAAAACTAAATATTTCTTTATGCAAGGAAACTTTTTTGTTGTTCATGAAGACATGATAATAAACTAAGGTTTTTGTAAAGAAATATAAAGAAGGGGAAAACTGACATGGAGAAAAGAAACATGAGAATACTTTCTAACTAGAAAAGAAGTAAAAGGGAGAGTGGAAAACATGAATATATTAGTGTTAAACTATAGATTATTCTTGTTTAAAGCTGAAAAAAGTCTCATGACTATTATGTTAGTCAGTTCTTGACTGCATAAGAAAATCAAGTTGAAGGAAGAAAACTGTATTTTAATAATTCCTTTTGGAGGTATGAGTTCATCCTCAGCTTTGGTTCATTGCTATGAGCCTGTGGCACAGGAGAACAATTGGGTGGCAGGAGGCTATGGTGGAACAAAGCTGCTTTCCTCACAGCAGCCAGGAAGCAGAAAGCAAGAAAGAGATCTGTGGATACAGTACACCTTTCCAAAATTCACATCCACAATAAGTCACTTCTTCCAAGTTTGCCCTACCTCCTAATGGCTCATTTGGCTATGAATTGACCAATCAGCTAATCAATTGATGGAGTTCATTTGTTCATGATCCAATAAATAAATAACTCTACTATCTGGGGTCTAAGCCTTTAACACATGAGGTATTGTTTTGTGGGTAAGACCTCATACTCAAATCAAAAGTTTTTAAATATTTAGTTGGTTAATATATCTAATTGGTTAATGACAACTTTTGGTGTTATTGTTGATTTGCTGTCAGAAACAGACATTCACATCCAATCCACAGGAGCTGGAGTTATATGCAGTTGTGGAAGACAATGCAACCTAAATATAGATTTGTGCCAACAAATACTTTGGCTCCCCAAAGAAGCAAAAGTCTTTCAGAATGTAATGTTGACTGTAATTGATACTCAACTTCAAAAACGAATGTTAATTTACTGCCTCTAGCCTAGATTTAATTTGAGCTGACTTCCAACTTTAAGGCAAAGGAGCTGGTCCAATCTCTGTCAGAGACCTTGCTGTCTGTAGTTGCCTAGACTTTTGAGAACCCTATCATGGCAGCAATAGTCTTTAAACACACAATGGACAAACCTTTGACTTTGTATCATGTCAGGTTGTGTTGTTGTCTTAATGCTGCTTTACTTTCAAATTTCATACACTGAAATTTTTATTACTATGGTGATGCTCTTAGGAAGTATAATCTTTGGGAAATGAATAGGTCATAAACTCAACAAATGACATCAATGTCCTTATAAAAGAGTTGACAAGGAGATATCACTGCCCTCTGTGATGTGAGAGAACAGAAGGAAAATGGCCATCCGTGAACCAGGAAACAGGCTCTCAAAAGACATCGAATCTGGCAGTGCTTAGACTGTGGGCTTTGCAACCTCTAAAACTATGAAAAATAAATGTCTATTGTTTATTAGGTTCTTAGCCTGTAGTTTTCTGTGTAGTTACATGAAGAACTAAGACAAAAAAGATAGAGCGAATAAAGAGATGCTGCCATAGCAAATCCTCAAACTGGGAAAGTGGCTTCAGACTAAACAATTGGTCTAGCCTGAAGAGGTTTGAGGTGTATGCTAGATAAAACCTACATCACTGTAAAACTCCAAAGAGAATAGGTAGAGAATAATAATGTGCTCAGTAGAGAATATTGGTATGAATACAGACAGTAAGGCCCATTTTGATGTCTCAGATATTAAGAAGAAACAAATGTTTGAATATTGGAGGGAAGGCTAGCCAATTAAGGTTGTCAGACTGTGTCATGTGCTATGTCATGTTTGTAGAAAGTACAACTTGTGAATGAGACTGAATTAGATATTTGACAGAGGGAATATCTAAATAAAATTTTGAACGTATAACACCACTTGCTTCTCTTGACTGCGTTTGGCAAAGTGTGAGAAGAGAGAAATCATTTAATGATAGAATTGTTAGGTAGTTTTTTGCCAAACATCTATAGTTCAGGCACATAAGCAGTTTGCTTAAGCCCACAAATTTGAGACCAGCCAGAGATACTAGACCCTGTTTCCGAAAATAAGTAAAATAAGCAAATATTATTAATGAAGAGTAAAACATAACTCAAAATTTTAGAAAACTCCCAGCCTCTCTAATTTGGAAAGAAAGATAAGTGTGTTCAGGAGACAGCTTTAAGGTATGGCAAAGTGAAGTCTAAGAAGGAAATTGCTGTCTTAACAAAAGCTAAGAGGAAGTAATGTAGATAAAGGGGATATTAGTCAGATGTAATAACAAAACCTCAGATTTATTTCCAAGACAATGGAAGAATTACCCAGAATGCATTTCAGAGATCATCAAGGTGTTAATCCCTGCATCACCTTCCTGGAGTGCAAGGTAGGGTGAGGGGGTAAGGGATTTTAGAGGAGAGGTCTCTCTGCTGCCTGACATAGTTCATAAAATAGACTCTGTTCTGAACCATCGCACAGAGCTCTCTAGCTATTTAGACAGGTCTGGTGCAGTACATGTCTCCCTAGCAAGACTGTGGAAACCTGA